ACATACTTGATCTATCACCACCCTCATAGCTATAGGTGGCAATCACATGCTAAATATCCAATATTTCGGACTATGCCAAAGATTTGCAGTGTAGGCCCACATTTCGCTGGGAGAAAAAAAAAAAAAAAAGAAAAAGCTTCTGTATAAGGCTTGGTTTCAATTTCAGGCTTTCATTTTTTTTGAAAAAATACATTTTCCTTGTCTAGCTACTCTCAATCTCCATGCTCCTGGCCGAGTCCTTTGCTCAACTTTCCACAGTTCCCTTTGTGAATTATCTTTCTCTTTTTGGTGCCTGTCTCTCTTTTCCTCTTTACATTCCCTAGAGTGTCTAATCCCAATCTCCTAATTAAATCCCAATGTTCTCCCACCCACAACACTTTCTACTGCAAATGTGACGAATCACTATCTCTGTTTTGCACACAAACAACTCACATCCAGATGAGTTACAGAATACTTCATACATGTAGGATTAGCAATCTTTTGACTGTGACCACAGCCATGTCCCATTACACTTGCAGCACACATCTATTAATTTCACGGATAACATTCTTTCTGACTTTAACTGGTCACATCTTTATGACAGAAAATGCAACGTTTCTAAAAGCAGTTCTTAATGCACTGCCATCTAACTGATGTCAACAGGTAGTTGCTGGTGCTACTAATAATTCCAGCTTTATAGTGGTCTAGCTGCAAATCAGAGTGGACCATATAATTTGTAGCATCCAGTTTTTTGTTATGGACAGATTTTAGTTAGGGATATAAATAAATATTTGACTAAAAGGATAATTTTCTATTCTCAACCACTCTCTATTCAATAAGGTATAGAGGCAGTACTAGGAGATCAGTGAAGACAGTTTTAAACTGAGAAGGAAAAAGAAAGGCCTGAAAAGTCTCCAATCCAAAATCTGCCTTGCAAGGGGCTCCAACTAGAAGGAACTTAGATTTTTCTCTAAGTTTAAAGGACTATCAGACAGACACCTAATAACAGGTATATATTGCCATGGCAACAAGGCTTATTTGTGTGTTATAACATTACCATATTAAGAAGTCTTACGAGTCTTGAAATGCTTAAGTCATTAAATAAATTACAGTAACAGTTATGCTTTATGCAGATTCATGTGAAGGGTTAAAAATTCTAACTTGTTTGAAACTTAAAAAGAAAAGAAAAACCATTTGCATATCCCATTCTTGCAATATTCAAATCTATGAATAGCTATACTCATATAAAAGAAGAGATTGAAGGTGATTTCAGATTTGTTACTACTAATTTAAGAATTCATAATAACAGGTAAACTCATGGAAATAATATTTTTGGCAATACTATAAAAAAGATTTTTCAGTAAAGTTCTAGGAATCTAAGTCTTAAAGTTAACTTATCAGCAGTGTCTATAAAAAGACACTGCACATCTCTTTTTTTTTAAAAAAAAAAGAAATACATATATTTAAAATCAGGCAGAAGAAATCACAACATTGTAAGTATACTGGTAGAACTTGAATACAAATGTGCTCATCACATAAGAAACAGAGGCTTTCCTGAGTTCATACCTGGTAATAAGCTAAACCAAACTTTTCTCTTCAATAGTTTATTTCAGTTCTGGTACTTCTTACATCATGTGAATTGCACTCTAGGTGTCCTGATGCTACCACAAGTGGAAGGATTCCCTGAAGGTGACAGACAGCGCGGATTATCAGCTATTAACAGCAAGGAGACCTGTCACAACCACGTACTATGTAAACCACATGGAGAAAGGAGGGGTTCATCTCCCTCCCCAAAGGTTTATCTTCAGAATCCCACTCTGCTTTATAACATCTAGCTCCTTCAAAAGTCAGTGTCATGGTGATTCATTCTCCTAGGGAAATAAGCTGGGATGCAGATGCTTTGACTTTTTATGCTTATTACTCATTCAGGTAAAGTATTCCTAGAATTTATGTTTGCTAAAATGAGTTATAAACAAATAATTTTCTGGAGTTAATTAACAAAAAACCTTGTTATGTATTTGTCAATTATTCGATAATTCTTTTCTTAATATCCTCCTGCATTCCATTCCAGTTTTCCCACAGATTTAAACCACTTTGAGACATATTCTGGATGAATAATGGAGAAAAACAATATAAATGGATTTGTTTTGAAAATTGCTAGGAAAAAACGTGTTTGCCTCTAAAAGGAGGAAAAAACTTCCTAAATGAATGGAGAGAGACAAGAAGTTTATTATGCTGTTTCTATCTGAATTGGAGGCTTGGGCGCAATCCTCGTTTTCTGTCTTTCTGGGACTGCACTGCAGCAATGCTATGCCTATGAATTTGCAGGCAGGAATCGAAACAAGGATAACTGCACAGGGAGCAGGTTTAGTTAAATATTAAACAATAGCTTAAAGTGTGTAGATGTTATGCATTTCTCTACATTATCTTGTTTCATGTGGTCATGATGTCTTAACACATTTTTTTTCAAATATAACTTGACAAAGAAAGGACAAATGTTCTAGCAATTTAGAGAAACTATTTATCTATTGTATTAAAGAACTGCTTGGGATCTGATTTACGAAGTCCTGGACATGCATGTTTGTAAAGAGATAGAGAAAGAAATACAGCTCACGTCAACAGCATGATGTTCCATAAAACTAAAACAGGTCAATTTGAGAGAGGAGCTCATCTTGAACAGAAGTAAGCTGAATCATTTAAAGGGACCTGAGATATATCGGAGAAATCCTCACTTGCATAGGCAGATCAAGATGGCATCCTTTCATTTAAAAATATGAAGTTGTACTTGTATAGTAAGATATAAAATTGTGCAATTAATAATACTACAGTAAAAACATTTTCAAAAAAGTTGTTCTATAATTAGGCAATGAAAGGACATGAAAGTTATCAGTAATTAAAGATTAACTGCATTGTTCACTGACTAAACTTACAGCTAGTGCCTTATTTAAACTGATCTGAGCTGAATCACCACTTCAAAACATACTTACAGCAGGGGATTTATTTTGCAGAGCCAAGAGAAATACATGCCTATGCCTGGACACGAGTAGCTCCAGCTTTCTGAAACGGAAACTTCAGGTATGTAATTCTGCCCCCCCGCCTTACTAGCAGTCAGAAAAAGAAACAGTAAGTTAGGAAGAAAAAATTAGAAAGTAGAGTACAGATGTGAAAGTGAAAGTTGTCACTGCTCATAAAAGACCCACAATATTTACGGAAAAAAAAAACTGTTTGCATCCTGCTTTCAGAAGTAAAATACAGATTACATTTTATCCCTGATTGTTTTCTTTATAATACACACTAAATTAGCCTTCTGAATGCCACGGACTTTTTTCATTGCTGTCATTCTGAATTCAGGCTGCAGAATGGATCTGAGAACGTACTGATACAAACGCAACAAATGCACTGGCAAAAGTGCAACTGTACTAAGTGCTTTAGGTTCCGAGTTCTGGCCAGAACTGTGGGCATGGGCTGCCAAGGTACAAGCTAAATTGGGAACAGGAGCGACCACAGTCTATGGGGCTCAGTCCTAATGAGAGCCATCACCTTACGGTTCTTGGCTCTGGAGCATCCAAGTTGGGAAAGGCACTCAGTGCCGCTTCCTCCCTCTCGAAAGAGGTGCATGGATCAAGCTCTTCACTGAATGAGGAAACGTTAGTTGAGTCACAAACATGGAAACAGGCCAACAGGCTGAAATGGAGATAGCGAGAAGAAAAGTTGAATTGGACTTCGAGGGAAAATGGTTCAAAAAAAGAGGACAAAGTGAGTGACAAATGGGGTTAATCCAAGACGCCTCTGAGGAAGAAGTTGAGGACTTTGAGGAAGGAAATTACTCATTCTAGGTGCTTGTGAACAGGAAAGACTAAATAATATAAGGTCTCTGGTGTCATACACCTTTGATGCTCATTCTGTAACATTTCAGTGAAAAACCCTAATTTACTATGTCCCCCTTACCACAAGGTGGCATATCCGTACTCCCTATGATTTTTAACTACCTCTACAGTTTGTCTCAATCAAGTTCTCTTCCCTTTTCTACAAGAGTGAGGAGTGGGGGTGAAAGAAAAAAAACAGGGAAGGACAAACTACATTGCAATCCAGCTACGAAAAAACATGGGTTCTCGATACTCCTTGGCGAAAGACAGAGTTGCCACGTTCTGCAAATCCCTTCACGAGAATACCAACAGAAGCTTTTAATGCTCAAATGGAACCTAGACTTTGGATACCAGACTGGTGCCACAGCTGAAAATTAACACAGAGTGCCAGAAAACCAAGCATTTAGCCATCACTTTGAACCTCTATAATTTAAGCCTGCTGGTCACCCATGGGCCAGTGTGCAGTGCATAGGTTTTAGTTGCTGCACCTTTTCATTCTTATGTCATGAGTTTCTTAATAACTGCAAATGCTAAGGAAGACTGTCCCTAGTAGTTCTTGTTTTCCTTCATGCTGATAAACGTTGTGCTTGGAAGTCAGACTGTAACATCCAAATATACATTCTCCTTTTCCCCTAGTGGCTGATTTAATAAAAATCTCAATGATTTTCTGTGCAGTTGTTCCTCTTTTACAAGTCTACAAAACAGAAATACGCTGCACAGCCTATAATGACCACAGCACACCCTCTCCACAGCATGTAACGGACCCACGTTTCATTTATCCATCAGAAGGCAGTAAGGAGGGTAACCTATCAAACTGCAAAAAAAGATTGGAAAAAAAAAAAAACGAGATAAGTGTGTGTGAAAGAGGAAGATTTTTTTTAAGAGACAAATACTGATTTACTGATTTCAAAGAACAGAAGCGCTAACTTGCATATGAAGCAACTCTATCTGCAGACCATAGAATATATATTTTTACGAAGTAGATTCTTGGAGATTTAAAGTATTAACTATGTACATAGCTCCCTCTGATGACCATTGGACACTATACAACACAAGCCTCCTTTTATTTTTGCTCTTGGATTCAACTGACAGCTGACTGGTTAAATTCTAATTGCTTCCAAGTGAGGTCAGCAAAGGTATTTATCGAAAAGAACTGAACAACAGGCGCAACACACACATGCACGCGCACGCACAAGCACATACACACCACCTCGCGAGCAGCTTGATTTATGGAAACAATTATAATTCTCCTGGAGTCTTTCTGAGCTGAGAAAGTTTGTCGCTACAGTAGTGGCTCATGTTGCAAAACGCAGACAACCGAGATGGAATATTTGGCTATCCAGCTGGTATCAACAGAAACAAGTAAGTTATCTGTCCTTTTCAAGCATATTCAACAGTTACTAATAGCTAATATCTTTTATCTTCTTTTCCATATGTTGGCCACTTAAAATGTGTTGAGTAATTTTTGCTATTAATAAACTGAAAAACTTAGGCGTAAAGAGGAAAGGATAAGACTACGTGGTCTGTCTTGAAATTTGGATTATGGAAATGTTCTCTGATTAAATGTGGCTAATAGTGAAGACTGAGGCACGAAGTAAGCAGCAGTATTTTTCAGTGCATGAAAACATAGTTCAGCTGAATTAGCAGAGGGCTTTTTTGGAAGGACTTGTAACTGAACTGAAGACAGAAGTATGTTTACAATCAGTTTAAATGACTGTTTACACAAAAAGCTACATAAAGATATCTGTTGTATATACATTTGCCTGTTTTTAAAAATCAGCATAGCATGTTATGAATTTATGCATAATACGTTTCAGTAGAATACTATATTCTTGCACATTTGTAACAACTGATATATGCAACTTTTCCTCACAGATCTTTTACTTTCAGTGCAAGCAGCAAATTCAAGTAGCACAGAAGGTCACAGCAACAAAGGTTTTTGTAACTCGTGTCTTTAAAGGATATTTTGACTGAAAAGATATTTACGAAGCTCTTCCATTTCGCCATTAACTATTAAGGAATAAGGATCAGAATTCTAGAAGAGGGAACAATCTCATTTAAATCAATCTGTAACTCATAAAGACAGAAGGCAGGTCGGTGACCTAAGAGCAACCGTCTACTTGAGATTTAATTTTCATTATGTTGTTCATGAACACCCAGAACACTGCACTATAATGCACAAATGGATACTGACATGGATCCTGCCAATTTTGCTCTACAGATCATACTTTTACATTATCTTTCTAATGGGCACTATATCTTTAGCTTGCAATGACATGACTCCAGAGCAAATGGCTACAAATGTGAACTGTTCCAGCCCTGAGCGACATACCAGAAGCTATGATTATATGGAAGGGGGGGATGTAAGAGTGAGAAGACTTTTCTGTCGAACTCAGTGGTATATGAGGATTGATAAGCGAGGCAAAGTAAAAGGGACAAGAGAAGCAAACAACAACTACAGTAAGTAATACATTTGCTTTTGCTATTTCTAAGTTTTTAGAAAGTCACGCATCACTGTTTCCTATTCCTAGACTTACAGTAATTTCAAAAGAATTTTGTATAGAGTACTGACCATTGTATAAGACAAGTTTTCCAATTGATCCTACAGCAGGACATTTGTTATTGATTTTGAAATGCGTCATTTTAAATACTACATTGTAGATCTGCTAATGTATTAGTTACAGCTGTTAACTATTAGCTAACAGCGAGGCTATTTTAAAAGTGAATTAAGGTTGTTAAGTATGAAAATGCATAACCACAAATTCTGCTCATAAAATACTTAAACAATAAACCATATCTATATATTCCACAAACTACCTACAAGTTTGGTATGTTTAAGTTAACAATTGAAACATATGCAATACTAGAAAGTTGAATGGAAAGAATTATGTAAACTGTCTTGCAAAATCTTTTAGATATTTTGCCAAGCCAGGAACAAAATCTATTATAGTTTCTGCAGCTCATTATTACAATGATCATGATGATGAAAAAATATTCTGTCCTCTTTCTTCCAAAAAGATGACTCATCTAGAGAGAATGGACATATAAAATTTTGCAAAGTTCTACAATTTTTGAACTGGCAAAAAAACATTGTTCTGGAAAGTTTTTCACACACATACCTACATTACTTTTATTTATAACTACTTGAAGGCATCATTCTTACATTCACTATTTTTGCCAATGTAACTTTTATGTTATCACAGATAAGTTGTAGGTTTTGAGAAATTTCACATCTCCTTTTAAAGGCTATTTTATTTTTAAAAATACATAACAGGAAAAAAAAAGCACAGGATTATACTGCAGAACAAACATGAGAAAGGGCTAGATACATACTGGTCTAGTATTTATAGTCAACTGAAAGAACAAATATCTGTCCAATGCAATTAAATGCAGTTTTAATATGCTGCACATATTATTATGCTTTAGATAACAGAAAAAAAAAAAAGAGAGCTGTTAATGTGTTTCAGCTTTCCAATCAAGATTACTGCTTACTTTCTACAAAAACAGCATGTTTCAGTGCTAAGTACCTACCTAGTGGGTTTCAGAATTTATTGCTTTACTTCATGACTGCATTAAGTATCTTGCATGGCTAAAACTACATTGACTAATGTTACCGTTTCTTTTAAATTTTATTTCTATATGTCTGCTTTTTTCCTACACTCTTTTCTGTAAAGTCCTAGTACTCTGAAAGGTATCACATGGCCAGAGGCCAAAACTTTATTTGGTCCACATTCCAGAGTCTCCCTGAGCTTCAGGAGGACATTGCTAGAAGAAAAGCCTTACAGGGCAAGTTTAGAAGTGAAATGTTGCTCTCATAGTTACTGTTGCTCTTGTTACTGTTGAAATAGCTTCTTCATTTTTCTTGCATGGAAATGCCTTTGAATGCATAAAAAATTATCCATTTTTCTGTTATTATTTACAAAAAAATATATTTTAACAAGATTATCACAACATATCAAGTTAAATAATTACATACATTTTCTTTTTGTGGTCCAAGACTGCTTAACTAAGGACTTAGCAATTTAGCATTATTTCAAATTCAAGCAAAGACTCAATTCTCTGCAGGATTCCGTGTTGCTGAAACACACTAATGATACCCAGAAATGTTCTGTAATGAAACCATTAGAGGATATCAGGTCATCTTGTGCTAAAGGCAATCTATTTCCTTGTGGAGTTTGCTGAACATTTTATGAAGATTTACTGATGGCAATAAACTACTTCAAGTTTAAGGACTATTATCTTGATTCATTAAAGATGTATACTTTAAAAAAAAAAAAAACTTTAGTCTCCTTTTTGCTAAATATAATAGTTATCAGGAGGAAAAGAATCAAAACTTGAATGGTTTATCTGGCAAATGAGATGTGCTATGATGCACTGAGATGTCTCTACTGTATTTATGTAAAATATGTGGGAAGTCTCCCACCATATTAAAGTCTCTCATTATTTATCTATTCCATAATTTATCTATTACACATTATGAAGTAATTCTGTGAAAAATTTTGTCAGATAAGTAGAATAGGGAAATACAGATGAAGGTGACTGAAAAAGTCTGAATACTGATAACATTTTCTGAAAATAAAAAATTAATACAGTAAGACATTTTTTAATCACGTTCTCTACTCAACTGAGGATGTAAAAAGCCTTCTTGAAGATGTGTTTATGGCCCTATACCAATACACTTTTGAAGAATACGACAGAGAAAAAAAAAAAAAAAAAGACTGCCCTAATTAGCTTTCTCCAAACTTTTTTTTTTTTAATCAGAAGACTCAAGAGACTACTTATATCCAGGGTATCTGAAAAGTATCATTTATACTATATGCATTGCCAAGATGGACTAATCGCTGGGTTAAAATGTTCTTGTTCTGTGAGTTCCAGTTCTGAAACTGTTAAATTAGTAAATGATAAATAAGACCTGTTTTTTGAGATGAAATCCCTGAACAGCTGTAGCCAAATTGATCAACAACTGTCAAAAATCTTGCTCTGAGGAGTATCTTCATATATTACTCTGCCCATTTATATAATATCATAACAATACAAAAATAGCTAACAGATTCTCTACCTTTCACAGATGAAAATTCAACTTGGACTCCTATATTAGCTGGAGATAGTTCTATAAATAGTAAAATATACTGTAAGCTACAGGTATGAGAAAAGGAATCTCTTTGCCTTTTGAATCACCAACATAATATACTCAAATGAAAACAAGCAAAAAATGCACATTGTAAATTAAATTAATCTTAAGAAGCTGCATTGACAGTCTTGCAAAATCAGTAACTTGTTTTCAGCTCGTGAGCATGAACACTGTGTAGAGCAATCAGCTTCACAATTTGAAATGTCTGTAGAATTACTATTACTCTACATGGTATCATTGACAAGTATCAAAATACCTGGATCTTTTCTGATCAGTCAAGATTACAAATGTAGGAATATAAACACACCAGGAATCAAGATCCCTGCAGCAGGTTTCTGCAGTTTAACCTCTGTAGCAAATCATAAAATTAAAAAAATATATTTTTATACATGACCTATAAAAGGAACAGGTGAAACAGAAAGCTGTAACACTGTGATTAAGATACTGATGCAAAACCCACACATTAAACATATGTGGATTGAAATTCCATGACAAAATGAAGTACCACATCTTTACTCATTAATCATAATTTATCTATCTGTATTTATCATTCATTGGTTTCAAAATGCATGTAACTGCTTACTCCAAGAAGTATCTGCACACCATATCAATGCAAGGAAATTGCTGAATCCTGTCTAATATAGTGATGATCTTATTAGGTACTCAAAGAAAATCTATTCTGTGCATATTTCAGTAAGCAGTAGATCCTTCTTGTGGACATGAAGCAGATAAGAGTAAAATAAGCAAATTGGAGAATAGTGATTCCCACTAAGCAAAATAAATCACTTTGCACCTGACAGAAACGGCTTTGCTTTTCAGTCTGAAAATTAAAATGCAGAGTGAAAACTCAGAGCCACATACTGAAAAGCTCAAGTAAGCATCATGAAGTAGCCAAGAGAAACAAGATCATCCAGCACAGTTTGTAATTATTAAACATTTTTTTCTTTATTATACTTTGGCCAAACATAATTATTTGGTTCTTTAATTCAAAAATAAATTTTCTACTCAGTTCATTTAAAATAATCCAAGTGGCCATACAAACTAGATTCACAGAATTCACAACTAAAAAGTGAGAGTGACTGAGCAGATGATAGCAATAATCTGGCAATTTGTTAACTCTTCATCATTGATGAAAAGCAAATCTCTCTATTACTGCTTGTGTTTACTTTCATTTCAGTTTTAAGAATTTTGCCAGATTTATTTGATTTTGTACAGAAAAAAGAGAAGAGGCGAAAACCAGAGTTTATTTTGACTCTATCCGGGAGGATTTACAACTACAACTGGATGATGCTTTAGACTTTCCACGCTCTGTTGCCTTTGGAATCTCATTTTAAAGACTTCAAAGGGCCTCTTAGTTACTAGAAAAGCCTTCCCGGAACCTGAGTCCTAACATGTCTGATCCTATCATATTCCATGTGTGCTTTAAACCCAGAAAGTGCGTATTTCCTCCCCCTTTTTTTCTCTCTAGTGGATAAAGCCAAAAACATAAGAAGAAAAAAAAAGAAAAAAAAGAGAAAAAAAAAAGACTGGTGATATTTTGGTAAAATTGGTACACATTTTACATGGGGAAATTTCTTTACAGGGGAAATTTCTTATATTTTCATCAAAATCCAACTATCCAGTTTTTAGCATTATTAAATGAACTCTAACTCACTTCTGTTCCAACCTAGACCCTAAGATGGTGACAAAATAATTTCAAATGCATTTTAGCAGTTAAATACTCAAACTCACTTGGAAATCAAAGTGATTTTCCAATAGCATTTTATATATATAGTTTTTATGATAAAACAGATGTTGGCATACGCACGCTATACCATTGCAACAAATTTCATTTTTGTTCTTTAAATATCTATTGCACAACAAAAGATTTAATATCTAAAAATCATAAAATCTATTTCAAGGCAGGACTGTCAGCATGCCCAGCAAATTTCTCTCAATAGCTTCAGAAGCTGTCAGCTATTGATGTTCCAGATTCAGTTAAGGATTATGTGCACTCCAACCAGACAGAAAGTCTGTCTTTGTAACTGCATTCCTGATTTTTCCAAGGTTTGTTGATTCAACCAATGTGCTGGCCTAAGTGGAATATAAACCTTGACATACTTTTACTTCATATTATTACTGTACTAATCTATTTTTGTACCAGAAAGGGGTTTCATTTCATGACAATACATGCATTTCCTCTGGAAACTGAACCGCCAGTGCCACAGACGGTGTTCTCTCCTAATGAGATTAATCAGATCTATAGATAACAGATTTCCCTACTCCTCCTTTCCCGTTAGCTCTCTGTGTAGCCCTGCTGATAACGCCTCCCTCTATGCCTGTGCAGGCA